ACTCACGAAAGCTATTAATGTTATTAAAGATAAATACTAAAATATCTATAATGTTCTCAAGTGTCTTGAATCCATCTATATATACCAAACCGTAGACCTTACAACACCTAATCCTACCTCATTAAGATTTATTCCTTCCCTTTGAAAAAAAAAAAAAAAATTATCATTATCACTGCTATAAAAGCAAGAACACAACACCCATAACACGGCCATTATTATTATTAGCGTATCTACCCCACCAGCCAAACACCAAGCTCTACTGGCTCTGCAACAAGCAAACCACCACTATCATTGCACAAACTCACCACCTAAACACCCCTTAATTTTTATTTTTATTTTAAAAAAAGAAAAAAAGACACCACCGCTAAAAAACCCACCATATTAAAGAATGGCTAATATATCCAAATTCAGTCCACTAATGTATAATCTTTTCTTTTTCACTTCTCGGATATGAAAAATCAAGTTAGTCATCCACATATCTAGCAAGAAGAAAAAAAGAAACATATGGCATTTAATCAAATTTGTTCCTTCTGATAATGTCAATGGGAAAGCTAACTGTGAAAGCTAAAACAATACAAATCACATGACCCAAAGTCATATACATATTCATTTTCATACTTGAGTCCTCTGCTAAATATAAACCCAAACCCACATGGAGAGACTGTCAAACAACACCATTTAATAATTTAGGATGCCATATCGAAGAAAGTTGCGCGCATTCAAAACCAAAAACCAAAAACAAAAAACTGAATAGGTAAAAAGGTAGATATTTATACTCAACTCAAGCCTTAATCCACAAGAAGTTGGATAGCCACCATCAACACCATCTCCCTCCAAAAAAAAAAAAAAATAGTGCAAAATCAAAATCAAACCATATACCCATTGTTACCCAAAACAAATAAGGTACTGGGTTATAGTGCAAAAATTGGGTCGGGCTTGGAATCGCATGAAATTTGGTGGGTCAATAGAAAACATGATTTTAAACAGGATCCATGATGATGTAACATGCATAGCCATACAATTCTCAGATCAAACAGACATGCAATGCAAAAGCCAAAATCAGGTCAAGCTCGGAATCACGTGAAAATTTGGTGGGTCAATAGATAATGTGATTTTAGGACGAAGAATTATATGGCTATGCATGCTACATCATCATGGATCCTTCTTAAAATCATGTTTTCTATTAACTTACAAAATTTCACACGATTCTGAGCTCGACCCGTCTCTTTAAACCCACCACCTTTTCCAGGCTTCTTCTCTCATCTTCTCAATTTTCTTCTCCCGTCGTTCATCCCCATTCTCTGATTCTCTTATTCCTCTTCTCCCAATCGCGACCCAGATCGCAACCAATTGCCACAAACCCAAATTGCAACCTAACGCTGCTACTATCACCTCCTGCTACCGCTCTGAAAACTATAGATATAGGGTTAGGGTTCAAAAGAAGAAGAAGAAGAAGAAGAGGATAAGAGAAAAAGCTGGCAGCAAATGTTATAGGAAAGAAAAGTAAAGGAAGAAGAAAAGAAGAAGGATGAAAAAGAAATACGGCGGCGACAGATGGTATACGACGGACGGTGGAAAAGAGGAGAGAAAGAGGATGCCTAATGACGTCGGCGAGAAAGAACTTCTCTCTCTTGCCGTTTTGATCTGATGAGAGAGAACAAAAACAAACAAACAAAAAATTATTTTGTATTTGGTACGGTTAACAAAACTCGAAAAGATCAAAGGGTATTTTTGTCTTTTTATGCTCAAATAAAAGGGTAATATGGTCATTTTGTATAGGCAAGTAACGTCGTTTGTGTAAAATTGACGGATGGGGAAATCTTGATATTGTCAATTAAAGTAGAGGAAATTTTTGTAATTGTTGAAATTATATGGGAGGTTACTGTATTTGTCAAAAATCTCAGGAGAGATAAGTATAATTTATCCTATTTTATATGATACTTTTACTATTGTTATTAGATTTGATAGTAGAATTCACTATATTTATGTTGAATGTTTAGAGAATAATAAGAAACATATACTCTTCTTTTTTTTTTAAAGAGAGATATATACATTTGTGATTAGAAAAATGCTTCAGACCCCTAATTCCACACTACTAATAGACCATTAATAACGTGGCGGACATGAACTCCACCACTGATTTGATAGTTTGATTTTTATTTTATTTTTTTCCCCTTACACTATCAACTTATTAAAATTAATATTAATGCTCTAATAAAATGATATTAATACTCTAAAATTAGAGTACTAAATCAGTACTGGAAAAGTAATATGTGATATCCTATTCTTATACACAACTTTTTCCTTTGGAAGACACTGGGAGTTTCCTACTTGACCCACGTGGCCTTTCGAGCTCATCCACACGTGCACCGCCTAAACAATGTTTTGGATAAGATTGTCTTGCCACGTCACATACTCTTTTTTATATTCAGAGTAAGCTAATCCCAAATCCGACTAACAGCTTCTCCGGTCTCTCACTAAATTCTTGGTTAAATTTAAATATTTTGATAAAAATAATTTCTATTCATTAAACTCGTGAAAAATTTTGTAGTGTAAACATCTCAAATAGTGTGTATTATGCTGCCATTTGACAACTAAGTTGGTAAGTTAGAACTAAAACAACATATAAAAAGATAAAAATAAGTTAAATAAGTAAATAAAATATAATATCACATTTAAATTATAATTATTTTATTTTTTTTTCTCTCATAAAAAAGTCAAAAAATTCTTCCTAAACAAAATTAATTTGACCAAATTAAATTAGCTAAAAGTCCGACTAAAAATAATCTTCCCAAATGAACCGTATATACATCATGTTAATAATATTTTAATAGAGTTATACTCTCTCCGTCTTAAAATATTAGTCCCTTATTCCATTTTTCATTGTCCCAAAATTTAGTCCCTCTTCAAAAATCAAGTATAAAAATAATATAAATTTCCTATTTTACCTTTCTTTTAAATTAATAAACAATATAAAAAGTACAATTATGACATTGATATTCTCAAAAAATATACTATCAAAAGGGTAATTTTGAAAAATTAATTTTTTTAAAGTGCAGTAATTGTACTACCAAAAAAAAGTTGGATTCCCCAAAAGAAATCATTATTTTGGGACAGAGGGAGTAACAATTTCAATTCTGATTTAGTTTCATGATTCTATATTAGAAAATTTTAATGCCGTATATAGATTATTAATTTTTTTTAATAATCTCCGAACTAAATTTATAAAATGTGTAAAGACATAAAATCATGGGTCCAACTTGTCTCATGTTGAGATCAAGACTGGACTCGTTCAGTCCGGCCCATGGGCTTATTTTGGAGTCCCGTTTCGATAATCTAAACTGTTCAATGTGTAAAACTTGTCAAGTACTATATCACTTTAAAAAATCACATTGATCAAATATCGATAGCTATTTTATCAGATTAGAATTCTGTCAACCATTTATTTTTTCACCATTTATTTTTTTAATACGAATTTAATCCGATCAAATAGTTATCAATATTCGGTCAATGTGATTTTTTACAAAGATATAGTACTCGATGAGTTTTACATATTAAACGATTCGAATTATTGAAACAGAACCCAAAAATAAATCCATAGACTGAACTTGAAGGGCCTAATCTTAATCTCAACATAAGACAAGTTGAACCCTAAAATCATATTATATAACAATTACTATAATAGTGAAGAAAAAAAAACGCACACAAAATTATGTAGTTTGGTGAATGAAATTCGAACCCAACACACAAACCTTCGGTGATTTAACAGCACACCTAAGACCTTCGATATTGGAAACATATAGTGTAAACTTCCATGGTGTTGACACAATGTGGAGCTTAAGAGTCGAACCCAAGACATTTGTTGATATAGGAAATAGATCATCTTTACCATTTGACAAATATACAATATATATATATATATATATTTAAAATCAAAATTAAAATTCATATTTTACAAATTTAACAGCACGCTCATCAAGTAAACACACTCACTAATATATTTATATAGAATCACAATATTTTGTAAATAAAATAGATGAAAGTGTCCACAAGATTAAAATAAAATTGAAGTTATAAAACATCAATGAAAAACAAAATAAATTCCTAATGAAATACCCTTATATTATCAAAATTAATAAAACATAAAGAATTGTTTTGTCCGTTTAATTTGATTTTTTTTAGGCTAAATCCGAGAACCACCCCATAATCAATGGTTTTAATTTATTAAAAGCAGAACAAAACCATCTAAAAAATTGAATCCAATTGCACACTTTCTACCATTTTGGATGGTTTAACAACGTTGACCTATTTTTTTAAATACCCCTATCTCAGAAAAATTAAACTATACACACTTTACATACTTAAGAAACACAAGCCTATCGCTTAGACATATATAAAAACACATTACAAAACTCAAATAAAATACGGCAGTGCTGAGACCCCAGCACCCCCACCTCCACGTGGGGGGCTGTGAGACCAAGGCCAAAAAAAAAAAAAAAATTGAACCAATCAAAAAACAGTAAAGGTAGTGGGAGTCACCCCACTGGGGATCTTAGTCTTTTTCCAATAAAATAACTTGAAACTTTAAGGAGCAAATGAGTTGCTTTTGTCTAAATGAGTTGCAATTCTAAGATTTAAATGTGTTAAGAATACCCTTTATAAATTAAAAATTACTATATTTAAATTAAATACTTACATAAATGACATATAATAATTATTTATATATATCACATAATAAATATATAAAATTATATATTTTTCATGTGTCTCCCACTTGCATCGTCCTTTAAAAAAAAATTGTGTCGATGTTTCATGCCTGTGTTGAGTCATGAGTATGTGTCTGGTCGCTAGGTTAAATTCTTGTAACAGTTATCAATGGTTCCTATTGCCAATGCAACAATGCTAAGAATACAGAGAACTAAACACATAACGGACACAAATGTCACAATGCATAAGTTACATCCCCAGCCATGTGAAGCGAGAGAGAGAGAGAGAGAGAGTATACAAAATAACAAGGATCCACAACTATGAAATGCAAAATCCCAACAGGTACCAATTCAACATCAAAATATAATCACAGTTTGTAAACTGAAACATCCTATCTACGAAACCTTAAACTTCAATTCCCCCAAAAAACAAAAATATAAAAACCTTTACCATGGTCTCATTCAGCTAATAACACATTCCTTTTTCTTCATAAAATTCAAATATAAGCCTTCACTTCTAAAAGAACCAGACCTGGGTGAAGCAATTTGAGTAACAGCACAGATCAGACAGAGCTTAGCCAACTCATACAGAAAACTGTCACCTGAAAATTCCAAAAATACACATAATACTAATTGAGCATATAACCCAACCACCGATATAGACACGATAAAAAATCCCAACGCCTCATAAAGAACAAGTTTTGCATGACAAATCATACTTAACGCCTTTCAAATGCAGAGAATGTTTAACGACAAATGTATCATCATAAAATAAAGGACAAATAATGGGAAAAGTTTCTGTATTAAGGAGAAGAAAGAAAGGGCTTGCCTCTGAGGAGGCACTAATGCTGTATCGTCCATGAAGCTAGCGTGCTGGTGTGAACATGAGCATAGAAATCATATGCACATAAGCTTAAATCAACAATTTTTATCTCATTTTTCTTCACGTCATATGCCATATACATATCGCCCTGAGACGTCAACGCCTCTAAAATGAGTACTTCGTCGTTGTTCAGCCAACCCAAAGGTAAGTAGAAAAACAGATCCTGAGGGACATCAATACTGATTTCCATATTCACCTGATAGAGTTTAGCCCACTGTCCCTGGCGCCAGTCTTTCAAAACCCATATCTCGAATTGTAAACTTAGCGGAGCTGTTGTAAAACCAGAAAGATAATCTCCCATCTTCATATAAGCACAAGGCTCTTGAGAAACATCTGGAATCGGGACCTCGTGAATTGTTTCATTGTCCACGTCCATCGCAAGAAAGAAACTGAAACCATCCACTTGAAAGTCACAGTCGGTCCAGTAAATAACCCCTCCAACAGAAACCGGAAAATTGTCCAAGTCTACATATTCACGGCTAAATGGGTGCTGACACGAGATTTTTCTCCACGAATTATCAATACCCACAGTCAAAATGAGCCAATGGTATTCTTTGTTTAGGTCTTCATATGCATGCACTACTTTGTATTCCCCGGTAGAATGAACACGTCCTATGCAGTTACTATAGTACAGAGGATTGGAAGGTGCGTCGAGATAAGGGAGCTTCAACACCTTCAAGGTAGCAGGATTTGCAACATGAAAAACTCTATTATCGTTAGGATCATTAAACAACGCTACACCATCACAACTAGCCATCATTCTTCCAGGAAACCGATGTCTTAGATCGGTCACTTGAAAGCCGCCACCTTTTATCTCAAGTAAATGGGCCTTCTTTGGAGAACCTGTGCCTTCAATAAAAAGAACCGTCTTTGATTGTTGGAGGTGTGCCTCAATGAACAGAGGATCACGAACTATATAAGCCCAACGCTTGCAAACAGGCCTCGCGGAGCTGTGAAGCACATAACATGAAGCCTCATGAGGATGTTAATGATCAGCTCTTCAGGAAGATACGGTATGGTGTTGCTCTGCTCTTTAATTTTCTTGTCCATCAATATCTCTAATTCTTTGAAAAAGAAAATTTTCTCTCTCAGGATAAGCACAAAGAAAACATGAAAACAATCTCGAAATAAAAAAAGAACATATATTGGTAAATAAAAAAATTAAAAAAAAAAAAGAATTAGTCAATAGTTATACATGGCATCCTGAAGATAAGAATTGGAGAATTGAATTAAGATGGTTTTAGTGAAGCTCAATTAATGCACCAGTGACATGGAGTAAATTTATGAAGTTGAAGGTGCAAAAAGGACAGAAGTAGGCCCAAAGGGAAGAAATTTTTAAAATAAAAGAAATGTCATGTCTTGGCCTATATCAGAATGGTATCTGGAAAAGTTTAGTCGAAGAGCGCATATCAGAGAAGTTGTCCACATTGGGAGACTACAGAGCACAGACTATGATGTAAGCCCCATTAATAATATTAAAAAAAATGTCTTTCTCCCAAGAGAAAATAAGAAAGAAGAATACAAGCATGAGAGAGAGAGAAAGAGAGAGAGAGAGAAATGTTCTATTGCCTTAAATAGGCATAGTTAACATAACGAGAATTTTGCTGTTTACCTGGGGCTGAATTATGACAAATGATAGCAGATGGATCACGTCTTCTCGAAAGAAATTCACAACAGAGCTTGGTTTTCACTAAAACCTCCTGGATTAATAAAATGAGCACATCAACAATTGGAAACATATGAATTGCTCTGAAACAAGTATTAAATGAATTTTGCAACAAAAATTGAGGACACACATTGTGATAACCCAACCCGTATTATGCTTAATTATGCATGTGATTATGTGTTTGATATGAATTTGCAAGTTTAAGTATGTGAACTATGTGATTTTGAAATTATATCTGTTGAATGTAGGAATATATGTTGCCATTACAACTTTGAACTGAAATTGAAAGTCTTAGAGGTGTCAGAAACCAAAACCAATTTCATATTTGTGTTTAACATGATTTTTAGAGTCTAAGGCAAAATTTTGTAAAATTACAATTTGTAATGATTTGATTTAATTGACCTAAGTATATATGTATATAGTTTCTTGAGTTCATCATTTTGAGAGCTTTGCTAGAGAGTGAGTTAGAGAGAGAGGAAGAGGAAAAGCTAGGGATTTGGAGGAGATTCAAGGGGCAAACCCTAGATTTGAGCTAAGGTATGGAAATCTACCTAGAATTCTTGTATATAACTCATCTTTTGCTTGAAATCAAGAGAGATTTGAAGATTCAACACTTATATGAGTTAGGATTTGGAAATGTGTAATTGTTTGAACTAAATTTAAGAAGTGGAACCTTAATCTCTTCACCTTTGTTTGATTTGAGTTCAATCTTGTGAATAATTCATGAAATAAGCTCTAGATTGCTGATTTGTTGAAAGATCATCCATGTTTATATATATTTTGGGTTTGATTATAGAATTTATGAATGTATGAAAAAGATGAGACCTTGATTTTGTCATTGAAGCAAGATTGATGTGTTTGACTTGTAATTACACATGAATCATGTTAGTATATCATATTTTTGAGTTGTTTTTGCATGAATTTGGGCTTGAAAATGAGTTTAGAAGCTTAAGGTTGAATCAATTTTCAGACTGTCCAGAAAAGCCCAGAACCGCACGTGCGGAAAAGAAAACAAATCTGAGCATCACTACTGTGCAGCACCTTCCCCATGTGCGGTGAGGGACTTCCACGTGTGGTGAGGGACTTCCGCACGAGCGGAAAACAAGAAAAAAACCAGTCTTTTTCTGTTAACTTCTCCGACCCTCTGGATCTGTTTATGAGTATGTTTTGACCCTCCGCAATGCCTAAAGATGAATGGAAAACAAACGAATCGTAAAACGAAAAAATAAAGGAAAAACCTAAGAATTGAATGAATTGTTTACCGAATTTGTATATCGAACTTGTATATGTGTTATTTTGTGTAGGTCACCTACTAGAAGGACCGCCATACGGCCAACATCACTGTGAATAATAGTATTGTAAAGATAAATACTTAATTGATCATTTTGATTCAGGTACGGTGACCTATTCTAATAATGTGTTTTGATCGAAATGAATGAGTTTTTTAAACATTATATGACATGTGCAATATGGACCCAAGGTCATTCCGTTTATGCTATGATGTGCTTGGGCCCAAGGCTGTTCTGTTAATGATATGACAATCTATGATTAGGCCCAAGGCTATTGTGATATATGATTGGGCCTAAGGCAGTTGTGTTAATATGTAGGCCCAAGGCCGTTATGTTATATCTTGGGCCCCGTTGGGCCTGAGGCCGTTTCGTAATTTGTTAGGCCCGAGACCATTATGTTATATGTTAGGCCTAAGGCCGTTCTGTAACTTGTTGGGCCTGAGCCCGTTCTGTAAATGTGACTATGGATAGTGCTATGAAAGACGACATTTTGGAAAAGTATTGTGTTCATATAATATGCTTTCTTTTAATTTAAGATTACTCATTTGATTCTCTTTACTTTACTATTATTCATTGAGCGTCACTCGCCCCTTATGTTGTATGTATGTATCAGCATGGAGGTCAACCTTAGAGTCAGCCTAGAAATTGCTTATGAGGATTTGTCGTGTCGAAACTCCAAGATAGAGCTGTTGTCTTTTGACTTTATGTCTATGTTAAGACTTTTGTACGGTGTTTGTTATGCTGGTCTTATGGATGTGTAACTTAATGTCTTGACTCCTATATATATAAGTATTTTATCTCGATTGTTTAAGCACCGCTCAATGGACATTATTTCTTAAATTTGCTTCTGCTTAAGGCCCCATTATTAAAAATATTTGTTTTTTGTATGAGGCCGTAGGTAATCGTGTGATTATTGGCCGGTTATGAATCAAACTTTTCGGGGCAAGTTTGGGTCATGACACACATGTACCTAAAAAAATAGATGACATCATAAGCATTTGCACCTCAATACGCAAATCAAGTTGACAGAGGAGCAGCCTATATTTGCTAAATCATGCGAACAAAACACATTTTGCCGATATGCCAATCAAATAACATCTAAGATAAATTCATTGCTTTGTAAAGATCACCATCGCATGTCACAAACTTGGATTGGAGCCTTTTAACACCTTTTTTGTCTAGGAAAACAAACACAGGTATGGACACAAACATGGGGCATGACTCAAAAAGTCAAGATGCAGACACAGCAATGATATGGCAAAAAAACATTATATATATATATATATGTTTATTTTCTGTCTATGAAAATTACATTCAAAAATAATAAATAATGAAAAACTATCACTAATTCAATATGAAAAAACAATTCAATCTATAAAACTTTATTCAATATAGGAAATACTATTTTATCAATTATAAAGCATTACGTTAAAGTTGTTTGCCTTCATCAACAACAGAAATTGTAAATGTACTATCGAAAAAGAAAAAAAAAATTGTAAATGTACTACCAACACCATTAAAAGAATATAAGTTTTCCTACAATCATTACACGTAAAAAAAAAATAAATAAATAGACAGCAATTTCAACAATCAAACACTAATTTAGAATCACAATTCAACAACATCAACAATTAAACATGAACATAGAAATTAAGAGAGAGAATACTACTTATTTGTATTGTTTAAAGGATAAGGAGGGAAAACTACATAGTGATGATTAACACAAACATGTTTACATAGTAGTGATTATGAATTTACAATGACTCTTTCTATAGCTGGCAAGAAAACTATGCTTCGGGTGAATCCGGAGGCAAGACAAAACTATGCATTGTTTTCACTAAAATTCTCCTGACGGGCACGATAAAGCACTGAACTGTTAATTGGAAAGGAAGTAGGCGTGTCTTAAGCAAACTCATGCAAACTCAAAGAAACCCAAAAATCTACAAGGACTCATCATAGGGCAATCCCCTAAGTAGCTTGTTTCAGATTTTATAAATTTGCATCTCCCTTTCTTCAAAGGTTCTTCTAGACCACACATTCCAAACTTTTACCGGAAATTGATGGGCACAACTCTCCAGATCATCCTAAGCCTTCTATTGCTACAACCCCCCTCATCGAGCTTGTAAAATCTCAAGAACTGACTCTTAAGTAAGCCATGAAACCCCAAAAGAGAAGAAAATAAGTAATAAAAAAACAGTTGAGTGACCATTTGTTGCACCAAAAAATGATTAAAAGTTTCCTCTACCCGAATACATGTTAGAAGGTGCATTTCACCAACATCCTAAATTTCAATAACTACTTTTGTTGATGACTGATAGTGGTAAGCCCAATTAACGTGGCCAAAGGCCATTTGCTTATACAAACAAAAAAAGAAGCTTAAGCAACCCAAATCAAAGCCCAATCCAAAAGGGCGCCAAAAGAGTCCAATCATCAATTCAAACTAATTTCAGTCCATTTTTGGATGACTTCGGCTTGGCACAACCCATCTAAACCCATTTTTGGGTTGCTGGCAGGGCCACATGCGATCTCAACCAACATCATCATGGAATGACACGGGAGATGTGGATTGGTTGGTGTAGTGACACCCGCTTCATCAGCTACAGCAGAAAATTGTTGGGCATTGTAGGGTGTCCCAAAGAGTTTAACAGATCCATAAGATGCACTTGTGGGATTTGACATAGGTGATTTGACTTAGCTGTACACACTGGTTCAGGTCATATTCTGCCACATTCCTTTTTGAGAAGCCATGTTTTTTACCTAAAGATAAATGGTAAGGAAAAGTGATATTATCACATGGCGATGTCAGGGGGAGAGGAAGACCTAAGCTAACATGGGATGTGATACTGAAAAAAGATATGTATTTATTTAATTTAACTGAGCATATATTCCCTGATAAAGCTGAATGGCGGTTAAAGATTCATGTAGCTAACCTCATTTGATTGGAATTTGGGATATAGGGCTTAGTTTGATTTGGTCCATGCTGCAAGAGAGTTTTTTGTCCAACAAGTTGTTTTTATTCCTTTTTGGATTTCAAATGCATCAAATATGATAAAATTTTTCTGAACCAAATTAACTATTATCTTGACACCCCATCTCCCTAATTAAGAGCCGAAATGACCCTTGGATAGGCGTCAACACCCTGTTTCTCTTGCTTCAGCAACTCCACTATAAATACATACCATTTACACATTTTCAAATCAAACTAAGTTAGCCAAAGATTTTACTCCAAAATTTACTCCCTCAGTTCCTCATCTTTTAGATCTCTTAGGGCCTCAAAACTCTGGAAGTTTGAAGCTTTAAAAGGCCAAAACCACCACCAGAATGATTATCTTACTCTCCAGCAACAAGCATTTCACAGACTAGCTTAGCCTTTCCTTCTCTCCCTATGCTTTCTCAGGACTTCCTTGTTATTTCCTTCTTCTGTTTGCCCTCTGCCCTCTCAGGACTGACTTGTCATTTCCTTCTCTCCCTCTACTCTCTCACGACTTCCTTGTCTATATGTTTGAGCTTAGTTGATTATTTCTGAGTTCTCCTCTCATAATTTATTGTGGATGCATCTAAAATGTTAGGGGTTGGACACAAACCTAGCATCCATGCTCAACCACCAAAAACTTGAGATGCTTGACAAAATGTACATAATCAGCTCCAACAAGCTAGGGGTTCAACATGTTTGACAAGCTTTCCAAAATCTAAATAATGTTTACCAAAAGGTCTAACAGTCCTATTGAACCCTGAACCACTTCCG